TTAAGGTAGCCTTACTCCCTGATGGAAACTTGTTATTTGCTGTGAGAGACTGGGTCCTCCTATTCAGAGCCTTGAGGAGAGTCGGAGTGGGAGAGGATGGATCTAGGGGGTTTAGCCTTAACCTTTAGGAAGGAAGGAGGCCCTTCAGCTTTGCCTCCTTTTTCCCTTGGCTATAGGTAAAGGTCTAGTGAGAAGACCTCGAACCATCCAAAGTTTTCCTGTGACCCCCACACCCTTGGTAAGTTCCCTCCTCTACTTGCCTGTCCTGAGTTCTGTACCCCACAGCCACTTGATCTTTAGGTCTCCCCTTTCCTATAAAGAGAAGCCACTGCGTGACTCGTATACCTTTCCCTTTGAGGCAGCATCCGAGACATGAGGGCTGGTCTTAACATCTGGAAAGTCCTCTGTGCCACCATGTGGCAGTTCGGCTGAGCTCTGAAGTGTTACACAGAGCAGAACAACAACAGACGCAAGGGACACTGTTCGGCCAATAGTTTTTTTCTTTTCTGTTTGTGCTCAGAAATCAAAGAAACATGTTAGACAATGAAGAGACAGTTGGCATAATTACAAAATAGATTCCAGTCTCTTCTGAGTATAAAATTTAGATAAAATTTAGAAATACCTGTTAGTGAAACACAAAGGTCTGCAGCTGGAAGCTAAAATGCAAAACTGAGGCTTTGACTGAGGCTTTAAACTCTCATACTTGCGCTGGAATTGTTCGGCCTTGTAGCAAACCAGGACCCCTAAGAGAGCAAAGTAGGAGCTCCCACGGCATTGCTGGCCTGTTGTCCTCTAGGAGCTTTGGGGACTGTGCAGGTGGGGGCTGAGGTCAAAGTAACACTTTCCTCAGATTTGCCAGAGACCACTCTCTCTAGAACACAATCATGTGTTTCCACCATATGTTTCTATTACAGTTTTCCAAAAACCACTGTCACTTTTTAAAAGCATGGGCTTAGGCAACGTTTTACTTTTTTGAGCTGCTTTCTTTTCTATAAATTGAAGACTCCATTTCCGTACTCTCTAGCATCATTCATTCATTCAACAAACTAAGACTATGCTAGATGCTGGGAATACAAAGCCACACAAAACAAATAGCATCTGTCTTTATGGAGCTTAGGGTGTAACATAGGATGAAGACCAGCTACCATACATATACACAAATGTAAAATTGTCAGAGTAAGGAAAGGAGAGACATGGTGTTATAATCAAACTCTATTCTTTTTTGGTGAGGCCTGCTTCCTCACAAGCGAGTGAAAGATGGCAGCCTGAACCAAGTTTCTTTCTAGTTTTGAAATTCTTGGTTTCTGAAGAAGTCCAGTGAGTAGCACTTATATCAAAATTTGAGAGGTGAATGCAAGCCCAATGTACTTAGACTTTTCTATTGATGATGAGCTTTGCAGTAATGATGTAGGATTTTAGCCTCAAAAACAAACCTTAATGTTTAGTCCTTACAAAGTCCCCATGAGAAAACTTGTATCTTTTGCTGAAGAAATAGTTAAGTTGGCCACAGATCTCAATTCAATTTTTTTTCTACTCCCCAACAAAACAGGCAACTCTTTGAAGCCCCTTCCACATATCCTGACTCCAACAAAAGAAAGTCTCGTATTGAACAGATATGACTGAAGATTGTTTTTATTTAGTTCATAAATAAAGTTCTGATGATACATATGATGACTGTGACAACTGGCCCACATATTTGAAGTGGATCCTGGTCTCTCAGGCTTTTTGAAGAACTCTCTAACCGTACCAGCAATTGTCTGCAGCCAGGTAACCTTGTAGCCAGAGGGGCAATGGTAGCCCACACTCCTCGAAGCTGCAGTCATATAGCAGCTGCAGTCATATCCAGACCTTCCTTCTCATGCATTTGATTAGCCAGAAATGAAAAAGAGAAGCAGAATATTAGTCAGGGAGCCAAGAGGTCACTGACCAGTGTCAAATGAACTGCCCAGTCCAACTTCCCCTAGTGTATCGTTGGAAACATATTGCTCGAAAAGTTCCTTAATTTTTCTGAACTTGTTTTTGAATTGGTATTAATGTTTCCCAAAGGAAGAGAGACAGAGTAAACCTGACATTCTTAGATTCTCTTGGTGAAAAAATTGTAGGCCATTAGTCACATCCTTAATGGGAAACTGCCAAGAGAATGAGTAGATGCTGCTTCTGATCAATGAGAAACCAAGGGATGATAAGAGACATGCCAATTCCAATCGAAAACACAAGCAAGACCAAGATGTTGGAGCCATGGTGCATGTGAAGTTATACTGTCATCAGTGCCAGAATTCCCAGTATTCTCAACTCTCGCCTGCCTATAGCACCCTCTCTTCCCATAGAATAGTGTTCTATGGGAATTCTGGAAATTCTCAGCCTTCTACATCACCGTCTCCACAGAACCCTGCACTTCAAGGTGCCATGGTCCCTTCTAATGCAGTGCTGAACAGGCTAAGTCCTCAGAACACTCAAGTCATCCCCTCATGTGAGCAGGACTTTGCTGTTGATATGATTCTGCACATGCCCTGTGTGATTATGGCCAGGCTTTCAGTCTTTCAGTAGTGCAGTTCCTTCAGCCTCTACCCTGACTTCTCTCTCCATAAGTAGGGAGCTCACAGCCCCTTAGCAGGCTGATGGGAAAGAGTGAAGGTATGGATAGCCTATCTGTGTGTTACCACATGGCTGCTCTCCCTGCCACAGTCTCAAATCAAATATCAAAAGTGCTTTTTCCTTTCGACCAAAAACAGCCCCAATTCTTCTGTGTGGACATGTATTAAATAGCATGGAGTCCATTCAGATATCCTGTGGTACAAGGTGAGATGGCAGATATAGGTCTTACATGATGGATAAAGACGTCTTCAGATGTATCGATTGATGTACTGGAGAATTATTTCCGCTAGGAAGCATTCAGGTTTCCTGTGATTCCATGATCTAGGATTCAAGAGCCTTTTTTCTTCCCTTGTCCAATAAAGACGTTCTGAATCTGTGGTTAGTTATTTAATCATTTTACTCCTCACTAACACTGACCGCACACCAATTCTCATGATAGGGAGAAAAAATACAGGATTTTATTCAGAGCTCTACTGTTAAGAATGGGAAGCTTCAGGAAACAGAAGGAAGAACAATTTAATATTTCCTGTAAAGTTGATTGCCCTAGGACAATGTACACTTCTGCTTGAGTGGCTATGGTTATAAGATGCTGGCCTGAAATGGAAAGATGATGCGGCTTCTAGCGTCTAGGTTGTCAGAATTGTTTGGTGTTGGCAATCCTGTCAACCTAGCACAGCTGAGTGGTTTCCCTGTGTGTGCTTCCTACAGTCAGCCAGTTGCTGAGGACCATTCTTGGGACTCCGCTGCCCTCCTGGGGTGGTTGCTTTGTTTGTGCCATGGCCTCTTCACAGGACCTTTTCCCTAAGTTGGTCTTTCTCCTGGACCTGTTCACTCCTACAGAGAACCTGGTCCTTTATCAAACCTTTTCCCCTGGCTTTTCCTTTAAATCCAGGTCCAGAAGCTACTGCTCTGTTGAAGAAGAAATATATTTTCTCTATTACATCTCCTGACTTTGCCTTTCTTGTCTTCCTGCCATTGTAAGTGTCATGGGGCTGTTTGGTGTACAGGCAAGATACGAAGAATTTGAAGCCAGAGAACACGATCTAAATTTTAGCTGTACCTCTTCACGATGGGTGACATTTGGTGAATTACTTCATTTCCTTGAACTTGAATATCCTCACCTTGATTTTTAAAAATCTTTGATGTATTTTGTTTTATTATTATTTTTTCAGTGCTGAGGATTAAACCCAAGAACTTGTGCATGCTAGACATGTGTTCTACCAGTGAGTGACACCCCAGCTTTAATGGTTTTTTCTTGTTGCTGTTTCTCTTTTTTTTTCATCGAGGTTGGTGGTAGGTGCTTCTCTCCCTCTCCTGTTCACCCTCCTGTGGACAGAGTTCCTTTAGGTAACACTCCTCAGTGACTCCCTCGGGAAGCAGAGTGTCCTGTGTGACCTGTGAGACTCGGAGAGGAACTGGGTGTACATACTTTGACCTTCTTTTTTCAGTCTCTTGGGGGAAGCTTTCAAAGAATATATCTACAAGTCCTTAGAGGCAGGCTGAGCCACCGGACTGGTTGTGAGGAAGGAAGGGGACTTGCTCAGGTCTGTCTGTATCAATTGTGGAGCACAGTTGTGAAGCCCCCTTCTCCGCAGGTACCGTATAAGCTATATTCTCCACTGTCAACCGTATTCACAATAAAGATGATATTTTGTTTTCCATCTGCTGAGTCCTTTTTGTGATTTTAGGATTCAGGTTGGGAATGGGAGGATTAGTGACCTCTGACGATCCTCAACATGATTATAAATGAAGAACTTCAAAGGTTACAAAAAAGGTTTTCCAGGGAAACCATCCTGTTCTTCCTTCCTACCGCTGATCTTCAGTCCCCAGGTACTGAATTCTCCTGGGAGCAATCACTAAGACCATCTTCATTACACTGGAAATTTCCTTTCGTATTTCCTTACGGTCTATTACTCGTCCTTTTACTCCCTTCTATTGATTATTTATTCATGGGCCATTAGCATATTGGTTTACTCAGTCATGCTTGATAAAACAGGTGTTTTTAGTTAGTTGTTGGCCACCCCATATTACCTTTATTTATTATGAATTATTTTTACAGCTTTGCTTAGATTTTTAAATTTATTATTTACATACGAACTTTACACTAAGCTAGCCTCGTGAAAAGTATTCTTACTGATATTTTAGGTGGGGTTGTCTGTATGATAATCTCCTGATATTTTGGGTGGATTAATGTTTAGATTAATCTTGGTTCTCATATGAGTTTGCTACGCATATCTCTTGTGCTACAGGAAGGAGATAGAAACTCTTATTTGAATAGGGCTGTATAAAATGTGAACTTTGCATTTACATGAAAATCTGGCCCTGACTTCTGGCGAGAGTGTCTGGGATAGACTAGTAATGAAGAAGAAGGAGGCAACATTTGTGGAGGGTTTGCCTTTATTTAAAATTCTTGAGGGCGGGGGATTTAGCTTAGTGGTGCAGTTCCTGCCTGGCAAGTGTGAGTTCGTAAGTTCGATTGTTGGTACAAAAAAAAAAATTCTTGGTAGATTATCTTTGGTTGACTCTTCCCTAGTCGGTCAGTGATGCTGGGGAGTACATCTTGTACACGGAGCTCTGTCTCACGCTCTTTAGAAGGGCTCGAGGAAGCCCTCAGGGGCTATCAACTGCCAGTTCATGTGGGAGGCGAGCATTCTGCTCCAGGTTTGATCATGGCTGAGCACTGATTTTCTAAACTGTTGGGTCATATTGCCAGATCACATCTCAACCCAACTCTGACCATAATTTCACATGGGCTGTAGTCCTGAATTTGTAAAAAACAAACAAAAAAAGAGAGAAACTGGCCTCAGGCCTTCCTGGGTGAGTGAGTTCATCACTTGATCTGAGCATATACAACAGGGTCTGTGTGTGCAGAATGGTTTGCAGTCAAGCGATTGCTCTTTTCTTCTGAGGGTTTGAAGGTCATGCTGGCATAGACAAGTGACTCCTTTGGTATGGATGAATGCTTCAGAGAGACAGAAAGGAAGAATGAATAAATGAATTCCATTTGGAGCAAAAGGTGTCTCTAGAAGCAACCTGAAAGCTTTGGTAAGAAGGGAACCAAAGAGACGAGGAGAAATCGTTTAAACAATTAGTTTGCCCAGATTCCAGAAAGCAATAGTATTATTCCAGTCAGTAATGCAGACTACAGAAAGAAATGCCTATAGTAGCGGCCCTCCAGTACCTGGAAACGACATGGTGGACTTACACTGGCAGGAGGATCTGAGTGAGGATCCAGGCCCTGGGGTCTGGGATGACCTGCAACAGGAGCCAGAGAGAAGGGATCTGGATAAGAGATCACCAGTGGGTGCTGGAGGAGAAGAGAGCCTTCCCCTTCAATCCTGGGTTGGGGTTGCGGGGGGGTGGGATGGGAGGGGGAGGCAGGGAGTAAAGCAAGGGAAGGGATTTGGATTCTAGTCTACAGAGCATGTGGGCCAAGCAGGATTTTTCTCCCCTCCTCCTGTTACTTCCTCCTAGCTTTCTCTGACTTCAGTGGCAGAGGGGGCAGGCTTTCCCATTCCCCAGAAACCACTTACACTTTCTGCAGCACTTTAGGATGAAGAAGATAAGGGCTGTCAGCAGCAATGTCAGTAAAACCCCAGCAAAAAAAGCCAAGATCAAGTGTTCCTTGCTGTTCGGGCAGAGAGAGGGAGCAGATGAGCTGCTGGGACTTCTGAAAGCCTTTCCTAGAAGCCAAATGTAGCCTTTCCCATCTGTGGTAAGCCATTGATACAGTGCTCACATTGGTTAGTGGACTTTCATTCCCACCCACTGGTTGCCAAATGTTTGCTTTTGAGTTCTAGACCCATTGAGCCGTCAATGGAAGCTGTGAACTCTGTCCCTATCTCCGATTCACAGATGTCCCAAAGCTTGGGGTTAAGTACACTCCTAAGGGCAAACACTAGTTTAGTTCTTCCACTGTTTCTGGCTCCTTCTCTGCAGAGGTCCCTCCCCAAGTTCCAATATCAAAGCTGTCAATACGAAATTCAGTGCCACGCGGCCCAGGATGAAAGAGATGGTGAATGCTCATTTACTTGGGGTGGCTTCTGGTCACTGGGGCTGCTGTAGAGGCATCTGCAAAAGAACATGGAAGGGATCAGTGAATCTCATGCTACCCTTCCAGCAAAGCATAACCGGTGCTTTCCCCACCCAAACAATCAATGAAGATCGATGGCAGGGCTGCAACTCTACATGGTGAGATAACAGGGGTCCTTTAAAATGAGGATTTGTACTGGAGCTTAAGACAGTCAGCAACACAGATCAAACATCCTTGTGTTCCACAGCTCTGTGTGTCTCTTAGATAAAGAAAACATTGCTTATGTCTCCTCAAAAACTCTAGCACAAAGCTCTGGGAGATGTGTTCCTTCTGACCTATGGGGACTCTCCAGGCCAGGAAGCTGAATCCATGGTGAGGCCAGTGTTTTGACCTCGGAAACTACCCCCCTTTTTTTTTTTTTTTTTTTTTTTTTGCTTGTCTGCAGGTTAGCTATTAACAGTGCCTGGCCAAAAGCCACCACGGTGCTCTTCCTAATGCCTACAGTGCCACAAGGGGAGCAAGCAGGGAAGCAAATTAGATTCTCCTAAACTGCCCAGCTGGTCCACTCCGATTCGGAGGGCCAGGCAGTTCTTTTCTCGGTCCCCTTTTCACTGCTTGTGGCATGAGATTCTGCATCACGGCAAAACCTGATTCTTCCAACTTCAGAGATGCACTGGCCAATGCCATCCCCCTTACAGCTCTGCAGCCCAATTTATTTTTCTTCCAGTTCATTTTAACTTAGCAGGGAGGCAGGTAACAGTTCCTATTCTGAACTCACCAGTGTTGGGTTGACATGTAGAGGAAGCTTTTCCCATGCTGTCTTCCCCTAAGGATAAAAAAAAGAGTCCTCTTAGACAGCATGGAAAGGGAGAGGCAGTTGAGGGGCCTGCAGAGGCAAATCGTAGGTGTTCAAACCCCATCCCTGGTCAGAGACTTTCCCTATGAAATTGCTGCCACTCAACAGCCAGTCCTCAGCTGTTAATGTCCAGAAACTTTGTCTTACCAGAGCACTAAGAACTGAATGATTTCTCTAGAACCAGTGCCACTGACCAACTCACAGACTGATGTATAAACTAGAATGGCATAAGGAATATGATAATGTGACTAGTACATTCTATCTATTGGAACATGTAAGAATATCAATTAAAACTGTAATTTTGCTTGGTAGGCATTGAACTAAAATCTGAGAGAAGATGAATAAATAATTTTAATACTGAGTATCATCCAAGTCTGGTACATCCACCTTACCTTTGCTTGGCAGTGCTGGGTAAACTTTGATACATGATCTTGGAGATCCTTCTTTCAGGCTCCATTAGATATTTCTGTTCACATACTGTCTTTTCAAGAATGCCAATATCCTGGTCTAAACTATGGCTCTCTACTTGTTGTATTAAAGCTCTTATTTCTCCTCATTTATTTTTTAATCAGAAAGTATAAAGTAAAGGCAGAAAAGTAAAATCATCTCAACTCCTACTACTTATTGTTAATATTTTAGTATCTTTCCTTTTAATCAGACTGCATGCATTTTATTAAAGCCCCTTCAGTTACTTTTCCATATAAAAGGTTATATCTTTTTTTTTTAATTGATATGTTATCATATACATTGTCCTATGCCATTAGAAATTTAATGTAACATTTTTAGGAAGACAGGCCTTTCTGTTAGAGGCATCTCTTCATAGCTGCAGGAGATATGCTCCAAATGATCTGCAGATGCCTGAGACTGTGGATAGTATGGACCCTACACAGCATATACTGATATTTCCTACACATACATATCTATGATAAAATTTAATTTATAAATTAGGCATAGAAAGAAATTGACAACTAATAATAAACTAGAACAACTGTATCAATTTGCTGTAATAAAAGCTATTTTAAACACAACCGTTTACTGCAAATATTTCATTTACTATTTTCAGATCACAGTTGACCCTAAGTAATTGAAACTAGGAAGAGAAATTGCAGATTAGGCAGGATGACTGTGTATATGTGCACTCTGCCTTGCTTAACCAGTTCCCTGCTTTTGGATACAAATTTTTTTTTCCATTTATTTAAGTAAACAACAAGAAAACAGATTGTTTTGTGCATACAACTCTGTACATAGCCCTGAGTATTTTTTAGGTGTCTAAAATTTTACTTCATAGTTAGGTAAGCCTTTTTGTTATGGGCATGTGCTACCACACTGGTTGCCAGTGATAAATATTTTTGACTCCACTATTTCTGTTGTATTTTGATGTAATTTATTTAGACAACAAATGCCATCAGTTGTGTTTTAATTGTCCAGCTCACACAAGTTAATTTTCAAGTCTTAGGGCACACGGGAGGGCTGGGAGAAAGATCCCTCACTGCCACGTACCAGTTATGACAGAAGTCAGTGACATTATCAAGTACCTTACAATTTACCAAACATCTTATGTCCTGTGATATATAAGAAAGGTGACAACAGGATAATCTGGTGAAAAGTCTGAGCCATGAGACTCACTCCTTGCAGAGCAATATGCATAAAATATTGGTAAAACATATGCACATCATAATATTATATGTTATATATTTATATATTATATAGAACATAATAATTTTAAACATGGAGACATGTATTTATACTAAGAATATAATATAAACTCACACTAGACCTTAACACTGGGGAGGTGGGAAGTGAGACAGTGGCAGGTTTTTGTTAAATACTCACTTTCACCTCCGTGGTTCTGAATGTACAATCATCCCAAAGAAATGCTGTCAACTAAAAATGTTAGGCTCTCCCACCCCGAAAGACAAAGCAGTCCCACAAAGCCACAGGGAAATAGCTACTTACAAGTCCAGGCCAAGAAAACCAGGAAACATACAGTATTTTTCTGTGAAAATAACAATCCAAATGTTTGACAGAGCAAAAAATTAGAAAAGAAACAGTGCTATACTGTACATACTGTTTTCCCTGACAATGGAGAATATAACTCATTGCCATAGAATCTATCGACTGAATGCAGTCAAACAATCCTTCCCCTTCCCCCACCCAATAAAAAGAAGAAAATGATAGAAAACTCTATTAGGTGATTTTTGTCTTTTGGTGACTGATTATTGGTCAAGATTAAAAGTATGTGGTAAATGTAATTACCTTTCAAGAAGATCTCCGGTCATAAGATGTAGTTGTCAGAGACTGAATTTTTCACTTCTGTTACCGGTCGAATTTTCCAGAAATGATGAAATAAAGATTACTAGAATGGTTGCTGCCACCATCAGGCCATGTGTCACAAAGATGTTGTGAAGGCTGGAAGGTGGACTTCCTCTTTGAGGTCAGTGCTATATTTGAAAAAAATCCTACAAGCAGTGAGAGCTTTTGTACCTTTTGACATATGAACACCAGCTAAGCATACAGGATCAATTCATTTCTAATTAAATGTTTATCATTTACTTTAACCACAATTCCAGAGGTTGTGAAGGTCGCAGATGTATGACACTACCAGTGTCATCAAGGAGATGGAGGGGGATGAGGATGATAAAAATGAAGAGCAATATTGTTACCAGCTACTTACAACAGCAACGCAGATGGTAAGCGGATTTGGTATTGAGATTCCTTCAGAGGAAAAGCAACTCTTATTTCAAAACATTTGAAACATAGTCATAAATATATTCATTGGATGGATGCTATTTGCCATACAGTGAGCTAGGTACCGAGGGTATTTCAGGGACCAGGGCAGAAGTATTAGCCTCACACAGCCTACCCTCTAATTGAAAAGAGGAATGAAAAACAAGTAAACAATAGATTAATGATGTGTTGGGATCCATGAAGGAAAGAATGCCAGCTAGGGAGGAAGTAAGGGAAATGCCTCTGGGTAGGATGAAGGGCTGGGCGAATGAATGCCTCTCACAAGAGCAGGGTTTACACTGACAACCCAGGGTTTACATGAGGAGGGAGCCTGGGAAAAGTTTGAAATTGGAGCGGAGGGAAGAGTTAGTGGATGGAAACAGGGAAGATGTGCAGAGGTGAACAAATCAGGCAAGGCTGCGTGCAGTGGACCCGGAGCTGGTAGCATAGCTGCAACAGACAAAAGAAAGGTTGCAGAAGAAGGGAACTGGGAGAGGGGTGGCCCTGGCTCAAGACTGGTGGCTGGGTGTCAAGCATCGTATCTCTGTAATATCAGCCTGGTTCAGGATTGGGGCATTTGTTAAGGTAGGAGGGATAAACAGTTACATAGATAATTAGAGCAGAATAGTGATGATAGAGGGGTCTTTAAAATTAAGCAAATGTATACAGTTGTGCATTGCTACATTCTGAGAAATGCATTGTTAGTGCATTTCATTGTGTGCACTTACATCGGCCCATGGTATAGAATCTGTGTAGTAGGAATGGGACCCAAAGGAGAAAGCGGTCAGCTTACACCACGAGGAAGGAGGATGGGTGTCAGGAAACCATCTTTGAGGAGATAGTGTTTGAGTTGGGTCTTGAAAGATAAATCACATTTTTCTGAGGCAGGCAGAAGGAAAAATGCTCTATGCAGAAGGACAGCATGAGCAAATGCTTTGTCTGTTAGTCATATTCAGGGAAATTTAAGTATTTTACTGTAGTTGGTGCTACAGAGAATGAAGGTGGGGTGCAGGTGGAGACTGGAAGAGGAATGGGTGGGGAGGAAGTGGAGAACTAGATGAAGACGTTGTATCTGGGGGATGAGTATTGCTGCTCTCTTGTCCGAGCAGCCCACCAGGGTCCTAACTCAGCCCCAATAAATACATTAGAGGCCAAAGTTTAATGAAAGGAAGATACTTTATTTGTAAAGAGGAAAAGGAACGGGGAGAAAGAAGATAGGTAACAACCCTGATAAGGGTACAGGTAAGGCCGGGTATATAGCTCAGTGGTGCACAGCTTGTCTGGCAAATGTGAGGTCCTGAGTTTGACTTCTGGTACCAAAAAAAAAAAAAAAAGTCAGGGTAGGAGGAGGTTCAGAAAGTCAGGGAAGGAGGCTCTGAAAGATGGAGAGTCCCTAGGCACTTTGTTCTCAGCTATTTTAGGGTGGTGGGAGAGGGCCGGGGTAAGGGTGGGGGTGGCAGCTCCTTCCCCTCCACCCAGAACTTGCCATACCTGGGTCTGCCTAACGTCATTTTTTTCTGGTGGTATATGTGCAGCCTGTTTGTCTTTGACTTATTTTTTAAGGCCTTATCTTTGGGGTGGGTGGCTAGCTGATGAAGGGGTGCCTTATTCTTGGTGAGCTTAGAGTTAGGGAGCATGCGCATGTCTATTTACCCTATAATGATACTAGAGTAAATAATATAGTGACTCGAGTGAATACACACGTATACGTGTGTCAGTATACAGATGTAAGTAAATACTGCCTTAAAGCTAGTCCCGTTTCCCCTATATTTTATTGGAGGTGGGGGCGGCTTATCATTTGTGGACTTGGCTTTTTCTATGTCCTGCCTGTCAGCTCCTTTTTTTCTGGTTTCTTAGAACAAGTCCCAAGGCCATTTGGTACCTTTTTTCCTTTCTTTATCCCTGTCTTTGACTTGCTTCCCAGGGGAATTTCTCTAGTTTGTTTTGTTGTTTTCTAAAGTCTGTTTTTAACTCCTAGTCATTATTATCTAGAAGACCGAAGGAGGTCCCTATTTTATTTTGTCACCTACAGATGCCTGTTCCTACAAATAGTGGACCCTAAACCCGCTTTACGTTATATAAACCCGCTGTATGTTATAGGCAATGGAAAGACTGCTGAGAGGAGTAATCAAATCACATTTGGGTTTTAAAAGGGGAGAGTGGTGAGATGCCAGATAATGTATTGCAGAGTTCCAGGGAAGAGATAAAGATGATCTGGACTGATGACAAAGATGATCATGGCCACAGGGAAGAGGTAGGGCAGACAGGAGAGAAGAGCTTGGACTACCTACCAATTTTCTGTATTGTATCCACTCACTAATATTGAAGATATAGAAGAGGGGTGTAGAGTTGGATATGGAGTAATTTTGGACACATTGAGTTTGAAGTGTCTGCGGAACGTTCAGGCAGAAATGTGGAGGGCAGTTGGATGCAAGACTGGGACTCATGAAAGAGATCTAAATTTGTGTGGCAGACAGAATACTCACGCGTAAACTCTTCTCCTTTTGGGACTGAGTATTCCTTGTAGATGGGTAATGCCATGTGGCAAGTTCTTGACAACGGCCTATGAAAGAGTAATGTGTATCCCTTTCAGTTGAAGCATTGAATTCCTGATGCAAGACCTCCTCTGACCTCTTTTTACAGGGCAATTGTGGAGACTTTGTGATGCAGTAAGGTTGACATAGCTCTAACTGGACCACTGAGTCACCATACTGAGGAGTTTCTCTGGAGTCACTTACAGAAGCCTCTTTACGGGCAAAGCAACGCACACATACAATTTCCACACTAAACTACTGAGATTTGAAGAGTTTCTTATCTCAGTCTATCCTATTTAGAGATACAAATTAGGAAGTCATCAGTGTACACAATAGAAGCCCTGGGCATGGATAGGATCCAAGTACAGCATATGGAATGAAAATAAAATTCCTAGGACACAACATGGAGTATTAATACTTAAGGAGGCAGAGAAAGTAGGGTCTGCTAAGGAAACCAAGAAGAAACAGTTAACAGCAGAGAGCATGACCATACTCTATTAGAAGCCAGGGGAGGAAAGGAAAAAAGTGGTTAAAGTGTCAAATGTCTCTCAAAGATGAAGATCAAAAAGCAGCCTGGACTTAGAATTAAAGCTGCTTGTTGTGTAGTAGTGCTAGGGACCTGTCTTTTCATAAGCTGTTCTTTTTGACAATCACCCATCTTTCAGATACCAATTTAAATGTAATTTGTTTTGTAGGCATTTTGTGAATTCCTGTATTAGACCGAGTCTCACATGTGCCTATTATGTCAGTGTTAACATTAGGAATTTATATCAATGTCATGATTTATATTCAAGGTCTTATTCAATGGTGCTTTTCTACACAATTTTGCTGTTTCCCACATTTAACACACCTCCCTAATCTCATTTGAAGCAAGGGATTCTTTGGCCTTTTTCTTCTTCTCAGAAGAGATCTCCTCCATCATCTCTTGCTGTTGGGCGATAACCCACAACCTCAGAGAGACAGAATCAGTGTCAGTGGTGATCCTGTGATGTTCAGCGTCATGTCCCACTTGTGCTGCAAGATGTCACTTGATCATCAAGTTAAAATTTATTAGAATGTTTGCTTGTCTTGTGGAACACTCACAGAACAAGTTACTTGCAATCCAAGGTTTAACTGTACTGTGATTACCGCTGCTATGAGTACACATAAGTCTCTTCACAACTCTTTCAGAGTTTCTTGGAGACAGATTCTTGCTGCTGCCCAGGTTGTACTCAAGGAATCTTTCAGCCGCTGCCTTTCAAGTCACTAGAACTGAAATTGTATACTACCACTTTATACTGTCTTCTGGCTTCCCTTTCAATTCTTCTCAGTATACCCAGAAGTGAAGTGGCTGGACCACACTATTAATTGTGTTTATCTTTTTGAGAAACTGTCCTACTTTTCCATTGGCTTTATCACTTCATATTTCCAAACAGTATACAAGGATTTCAATTCCTCCACATTCTCACTAAATTTTTTTTCTGTGGGATTTTTTCGTTGTTTTGTTTCTGAGAGTAAACCCTACTTCCACTGTTACATAGCTAGTTGTTTTCTAAGTTTTTCATAGTTATGATCCTTAAGTGATTTTATGACATACTGAGTCTAATATTTTCTACAGGCATCGTACTAAAATTGTAACAGTCAATGATGATTTGCTATACAATATTCCCTTTGATTATTTTAAAGAATGGGTACTTAAAAGCTTTGAATTTTCCATAACGTATCAGTTAGCTAGAAATGGCTCACCACAGAATGGTCTCATAAACATGCTAACAGCTCAGTGACAAGACTTTTTTTTTTTTATTTTTACTCATGGCAAATGTTGAAATGTTATTTCAGAGAATTATGGAACTTGAAACACCTTGTTTCAATTGTCCTTTATTGCAAGATCATAGACCTAATTACAAATTTAACCTATAACTTGGTAATCGTTAGTCAGGTAATAAGTTTCAATAAAAATGAAGTGTTTATTCAAAAGTGATCACAGAACAACTCAAAATGCAGAGTAAGGATGACTGGCCAATAGATTTAGTTCTCACTAAATGGAACCCCAAGCTTTTCTTTTTTAGGAAGAGTGTACTGCAATTTCAGTAGACAGAAATATGGGAAGTTTCTGTGACACAGACTAGTTTTCACTTACTCAACTGTTTCTGGCTGTCTCTAGTGGGACAGACAATTTACATAATGGGTTGTGCCTGAGCCTTCTTTGCAAGCAGCTTTAGATCTGCAATGCACTTGGCAATCGTCTCCTTTTCCTGTGATAAGGAAAGAAATCTGGTTAGACGTTTCTGTAACACTGAAGAATATACATATATATCATAATTCTAAAGGATAAGGCCTACCGGACCAGAACCTCAAGAGGATACCGGCTTAACATAGCTTAATATGTAAGATTACTAGATAACTCTGGAAGAAAAATTATTTAACAGAGGGAGATGCAATTTACTATAAAAGCAAATGCAAGGAGTTAAAATTCACTGGCCCATAGCTTTTCTGGATGAAATTGGGCAGATACTTCTATAACCATTTGTTCTTACTCTTGGCTTGTATAGCTAACAAATCCTAGAAAACGATTAACTGAACAAAGATTAGTAATAGAGAAATATTGGTATTTTCTAAGTTACTTAAATAAGTATATATTACTTTTATGTAAAGAGTTTATTTTATTCAATAAATACAAGCTATCTAGTTTTGATAAACTCTGTTTTTTTTCTAATTCTGAATAGGTTATAGAGAAAATGCTAAGAAATGCCCAAATAGGCTACATATCTGGGACAGAAGAAATTAAATCATAAATAAATGAAGAACAGAAGTTTAGAAAGTAGTTTAAGCAAATAATAGGAAACATTTTTGTTCAAGACAGATGAATTAAAGAAACTGGAGAGAGGACACAGAATGGCGCTCATGGGGCTAGGAAATGGGAAACTTATTTTATGTTTTATATAGGAATATGTGGATCAGTACTACCCAAACAATGGAGCATGAACATGGGCCAATGACTTTTCCACTGTTTTGACATATGAGATGAGAAATTCTTTGTTAAATGAACTCTGAAGAGAAGGAAAAGCTCTCAGGGCATCCATGTAGTGTCTAAGATTACAAACATCAAAAATAAATAAACTAACCAGAATGGGTACTTAAAAAGCTTTAAATTTTCCATAACCTACCAGTTAGCTAGAAATAGCTCACCATAGAACTACTGCTATTTCTAAGCTAAAGATTCTTAGAAGTTATTTCTTTACAAAGAAGTTATTTCTTCTTTACAAAGCATTAGATGCTTGTCAAGACATACCAGTACAACTGCAGAAGCTACAAACATTGCGTACCTGTTGTGCAGAGATGCTCTGCACCACTTGCTTCTCCACCCAGTTTATCATGTGCTCTTGTTCCTTTCGATGCATCAGATTCTGCACAGAGATATGGTAGTCCAGGCGACCCTTTACTTCCTTATATACTCTATGTAGCCGTTCCCGGTAACTAACCTCCAAGGCCATAGCAATATTATTCTGGGACAAAAATAAGAAATGATGAATACTGCCTGCATGTTTTAAGCAATAGTTTCTGTGCTGAGGCTTTTCTTACAATGCCCTACTTCTCTCTTGTATTTTACGTGAAATTCTTTTATTTAGTAAGTAACGTAAGAAACTGTAACAGTATATAAAACTTACAAGTACAGGTATTAAGAAATATGACTCCTCTTGTACCATTATAGGCTACCATTTTCCTGGATTTCTTATTTTCTTTGCCACTGATATGTAATAAACCTAACAGGTACATTCATACATACATCACCTTTA